GATTTGTTTGAATTTTTTGATTTGGTTTAGTTAATTTTAAAAAAGGTGGTATGATTAGTTGTTAGTGAGTATATTAAAATAATATTTATAATAAAATGATTAAAAGTGATTTGATGTAAAAGTAGGAGAGAGAGATTTGAAGTGATGATTAGTTAAAATAATATAAGTAGATGAATAGTAAATTAAGGTTGATGTGGTATGTATGAATGATTGATTGATATTATTTAATTATATTAATAATTTTGATGATAGTGGGGTTAAGTTAAAGTTGAGTAAAAAAAGTGGTTGAATTAAAATGTTGAAATTTTTTTGAAAATTTCTTATAAACAAACATCAATCTACTAAGGATTAGGATATATTTACTTTATAATAGGGTTTATTGCACCAAATCCCCCTGTATTATATGAAATCTGCGCATTTTTTTCTGGTATTTCAAAAATTGCGTCAAACCCCCTTGTATTTAATATCTGCATGCATACTCGCCATTTTGTATTTAATATCTGCATGCATACTCGTCATTTGATGTTAACGGCCGTTACTTTAGTGTTGACGGCGTTACTTTTTTGTCGAATTTATCATTCCACCTTTACTTTATCAATGAATTTACCATTATGCCCTTATTGTCAAATATGTTGACTTTAAAAATAAAGTGGCAATGGTTGGAATTGAACCCATGACCTTTGGGTTGTAAAAAGTGAACTCTCCACCAACTAGGCTACTAGTCATATAGTTATAAATGTGATTTCATATATATATATATATATATAATGTCTGACGAAAATAATATAATAAATAAATATATTCTAAATTATAAATAATGTAATGATTGCATAAATATTATTCTATATTATAAATAAGAAAACTATTCATTAAATATATATCAAATTAAAAATAATAAATGAGTGAATAAATTGATTCTACATTATAAATAATATAATAATTTAGTATGTAGATTTTGTAATAATTGAATAAATAGATTCAAAATTATAAATAATATAAAAATTAAGTAAATATAATCTAAATTATAAGTAATATATAATTAAGTAAATAGATCATATAAGATAAATAATATAATGATAATTAAAAATTATAAATAATATAATAATTCAGTATATATATTTTATAATAATGGAGTAAATATATTCTATATTATAAAAAATATAATAATGGAATAAATTATATTTTATTCTAATTTAATTTTTATTTTATTTTATCTTAATTATATTTCCTTATAGTTACTTCTTTTTTTATTATTTTATTTTTTGTTTTGATTAAGTTTTTCTCTGTGTTGTTGTTCTAAATAAAAGTGGTGCTAGGTATGTTCCACAAAATGATGGTGGCGCAATGGTTGGAAGCTCTGCTATGCAGCTTTTGGCCCAAGTTCGAATCCTAGGAGCAACAAATCATTTTTTGTCAATAATGGCATGAAAAACAAGGGGCAAAATAGTAAATTTAAAATAAAAAATAAGAAAAAAGTGAATAATTATCGCATAAGACCAATGTGTACTGCACGCGCCGTCAAGTTAGACGGAGGGGGGGAATCGTGCAACAGTTAGTTAAATACAAGGGGGTCTGACGCAATTTTTAAAATAACAGGGGAAAACGTGCAGATTTCGTATAATACAGGGGGGTTATGTATATTTTACCCCCCAGTTTTTTGAACCGGTCCGGGACGACACCTCGTCCCAAACAGAACGGTATCAATCGGGACCGGGACAAAACGGTTCGGGACCGGGACAAAACGGGAAAAAATGTTCAAAAATCAAACTTCAAACTAAACTATTCCCTGTTGGCCTGTTTGGCTGTTTCACTTNTTTATTTACAAATTAATACTTTAATAATATATTATATATAAAAGTATCATTTTATTTTATTATTCAAATAAATTTAATTTATTTTAGTTTATTTTATTTATATATATTATATTACTTCAATTCAAAAACGTATATTTAAATTTTATATTAAATTTTATTTCATATTTATATTTTGATTTATTTAAATATGAAATGGAATTTATTTTATGTTGGTTTATTATACGAAATAAAATTTAATATAATTTATATTAAAAATATTTATAATTTGGAAAAATAAACCAACATTTAATTCAAATATAATTTAAATATAAATTTTGATTTTGAAAATTTAAAGTACAACTTTCTAATACTTTATAAATTATAGCACCGGTCAAAAAATGATAAATACATCTTCTACCTTAGTGAATGAAAAAAATAAAATAAAAATCTAAACCAACATCTACTTGAACTTGTTTTTTTAAGTCACACAAAATCAAATTTCAATCAGATTCAATCATGTTCTTTATAGCCACATCATCAATCGTGACAATTAACACCAATTAGAATCGTAGCTCAGGAGTTCTAAGCAACAACTGCCCAAAAACCTAAAAACCAATCGGCTAAAACCTTATATCTATTAAATTCACATGTACAACATAAGTATGATTATCGCATTCTTTGGGTACCGAACATATATGAAAGTCGCATTTCTGTTAGCCATATGATGTAATTGATAAATTGAAATTATTATTTTTATTTATAGTACAACCTATATCATAAAAAAATTCAGACGCATCATTCACTAGTTAAAAATCCTAGTTTCTTGCCTCAATATATTAAAAAATTAAAAATAAAAATATACCTTAAATGATGAAAAAAATAACAAAATTTGAAATTAAAGTAAAAGTTTTGAGGTATTTTGCAATTTTGTCTGTAAATAAAAGAAAATGGGAAATGCATTTTAATGTCAACCACATGTTTGGATGTAACATAAATTTTGGAGACTTTCGTTATGTATACATGGTGATGTAATTCTTAATGGGCCAAGTCCAGCTCACCTTTTACAATCATACCCTTGAAAATGAAATAGAACCAGAATAACAATTAGGGAAATTTTTATGTATCCCACGAGATTGTTAAAATATTACAAAATTACCATTCAAGCACAATTAATTGTATATATACCTCATAGATAATAATTAATTGCATTGATGCCTAAAACCCATTTACAGTGCCAACCTCCCTTCCTTGTTTGTAGCGCCTGATATGCGAGCAGTTACAAAAAATCATGCATATAAAATATAATAATCAATTATTATTTTGGCACTTGATTTGCGGCCGACAAGAAAATCATTGACTCCATTAATTGGATATATTAAACACATTAGACACAATAAATGATTCACGCAACTTACGTTTTTTATTCTTTTATTAACCGATTTATGTATCACGTTTTTAAGAGAGACAAATGAAAACATGCATGGTTATTCAGGCAGTAGTATATATTGCGTTTATTTTTAGTATATATTCAGCAAATATTGCAACATTTACACTCAACATTTTTAGTATATTTTTAACATCGCATCATGTTAATAGTGTATATTAAGCGTATATTAAACGTTATATTCAGTATATGTATACATTAAACTATAATGTGTTTATAGTTAGTATATATTCAATATATGTTGCAATAATCTTCTATTATACCAAAACAACAAAAAAACAACAAATTGTAGACGACAATCAGATAAAGTTATGTATATTAACAGTATATAAAACAAGTTGAAATCGTACTCATGTACATATACTAAAAATATACTGTCGACCTTAACATATTCTAAAAACCAGTATATTTGTCGGGAACATATACAGAAAATATACTCATTGTATACAATCGACATAAAAGAAAATAAATCTATGTTGTCATTATATACAGAATATATACAAAAGATATACAAAAAACAAATGTTATAACAGATGTTGAGTTTATGTTAGTATATATTCAGTGTATGTCGCAATGAAAAAAAATGTCTTCCATCAAAAAATTATATCTTCCTCTTTTTTTCCTCTTTTTTTCTTCTTTTTTTCTTTTATAAATAAAAGTATATATATAATTTAAAAACATATTATAATAGATTACTTAATATAAAACCATACATATACACAATACCAACAAAAAACATTCAGCTTATGCTAAATATAAATTGATTTTATACATAAAAATTATGTCTCGCGATAAATTCCTTTATCATATACAAAAAATATACTGAATATAAACCATACATATACAAAACAAAAAAATCAGTTTATACTTTGTCAAATTCGTTTTCTAATAAAAAAATCTTCTAATATACCCAACATAAACTATGAATAAAAACATTAAAAATGGAAAAAATGAAAATCCATTCACAAACTAATTGTATATAACTAATATACCAAACATAAACTAAGATGTACAATAATTGTACATATCCCTAAGATGTACATGTACATATACTGTACAGTACCAGCAAGTGTCGGCTAGCATTTCGTTTGCTGCTTCTGAACCTTGGACAATTTTTCCCCGAGCACCAAATCCATCTGCTCACAATTGACGCGCATTCGATAGCTGCACAAACCCAAATGAAAATTGCAGTCTTATTAATCACAAAACCACCGCCACCATCAAACCAAAAAAAAATAAAAATAAAAAATCGCTTCCTTCTATTTTCACACTAGAGACAGCAATCCAGATTAAACACCAGTTCAATAGCATCTCAATTAATTACACTGAATTTGAAAAACTCTGAATTATTTAAGCAAGCTAGTTTTCAATCAAGAAGATGAAAACAAAAGGATAAAGAACCACTCACGGAAAATCTCCAACAGCCGCAGATACTCGTTGCCACCGCCGATTACATGTGTAGAGGTTGATCCAACATGAACAGCGAGAATAATAAGGGTTTATTGATTTCTGGATTTTGATTTATTTGAAACCGGTTATGAAATTGGGATTTAGGGCAAACGGAGCGGAATTACAAAGCCTCGATCAATCCCATCCCTGATTGAAAGTGTCGAAGGCGGGGACTTCCATCAATCCCACCAGACGACCCGCCACTCATGAGCCGAAAGGGAGCCAAAATTTTCCAACAGGTTTTTCCAACCGCGGCCTTGTTGCAGGGGAATGACGACGGAGGTGATGATGGGGTCGTCGTTGGCGGTGGTGGTTTGCGCCGGCCGTGTTGAGGTGGCAATTGCGGAGAAGAATGAGATTCGACAGGCAGAGTGTAATTGCTCGGAGTATATTAGGAATTTTTGGGATTTAATCGCCGTGGGGAGTGATTCTGATATTAGGGATTAATTATCCTAATTAATTCATAACTGATTCACTTTTCATATTTAAATCATAATTAATATAAAATCTGGTATATGTGTAAATATATTGGGGTGATTTTGTATTTTTACAAATAAATATTAGTTAAGTGTAAATATGTAATATAAAATATATTTGGTAGTATAGGGTGCAAATTCCTCTAACAATTATTGTGCCTTTTCTTTTTCCCTTTGTCGCCTTTAATTGGTTGGAGTACATTAGAATTATCATATGAAAGCATTTACGCTAAGTTAAATTTCTTTTTGCGCGGTTAACCTGGTAAAATGGGATGACAATCCGAATAAATTGATCAAGACCTAGAGTTAATTTGTAGGTTTGATAAGCAACCAAAGGGTAATTTGTAGGAAGATAGCACAAGTATATATATGTTGAAATTTGAAAAAGAGTGGCTAGTACATCGTTACTATAATTGTCCAGAAAAGAGTCTGGTAAAGAAGTTGGGCGAAGAAGATGGTTTTTGGAGGCAAGAAAGATGAACGTATCGGCCAAGCTTATCGACTTGCCTTGGCTCTCCTTTGGTGTCCTTGTTGCACACTTTGCATGTTTTGTCCACCCATCCCTCCTCCACATATTTCCCATCCACTGCATCATCATTTAAGTCATCTATGTAAGATTTTTTTTTTTTTTTTTTTTTNTTTTGAATTAATGAACTAATGTAATCATGTTTTCTAAAGTTTATACTACGTAGTGTAGTGATAGTGATTGTTTTGGGGAGAAGAATGAAGCTATAATTTGGTTGGCAATTTCATAATCAAAGAAGTAGCTAGCTTATACAATATTCATCTACTAGAAATTCAGAAACAATTCATATTTTTATTTGAGATTCGTATATTGATAATTTTCTCCACTAAAATCTAATCACTCCCTGTAAGACAGACTGTCTAATAATTGGATAATCTAACATAATACTAATTGTTCTGTATAATGGTTTTAAATATGTTATTTATTATCTATCGCATAGATTTTCAATGTCTCTGAAATCTACCAAAGATAAAGGGACGTTGACAGTCATGATACCATCCTTACATTGGATCAATTAGTTTATTTAAAATGTAAAGTGAAATCATGAATTCACCCCTTCTCAAGCTACTATGCCATGACACAATCAATTAGTTAGGGTGTGTTTGTTTATAAATAAACTCAATTCATACTCAAAATTTAATTCAAATTTAACTCAACACAATGATCTTCAATATTATTAATATAATCAGATATTATCAATCAATAATTCTTACACATCACATTAACTTTAATTTATTATTCATACATTCACATAATTTTAACTAACCATCAATTCACATCATTTATCTCCTACTTTTAAATCAAAGCATCTTTAATTACTTTATTCTAAATATTATTCTAATATAAACTCAAAATATAAACCATACTATCTTTCTCAAAAATTAACTCTGATTTACAAAAAAAAACTCGATTTAAATGGAATATTTTTGTATCCGAGCACGCCATTAACAACTAAACGAAGTACTCACCATCAACATATGACTTGAAGAAATCCTTGTACGTTCCCCCAATCTTCCTCCTTAGAGCTCCATACTTCAATATTAATGCACAACAACTCAAAATCAAAGTGCCTAAAATATTAAGTCAGAAAAATATTAGTACATAAGTACCTGCTCCCTCGACATTCTCTCTCCCGATCTTGTTTGCTCCCGAGCCTCCTCCAAAAGCTCGGCGTCTTTTGCCGATCTAACCTGAGAGAAATCTAAAGCTTCGGTCACGGCCCCAAAAAGCGATTGTTTTCTCTCTTTCGGTTCTTCATCGGCATTTTGTTTCTTGGCATGAGTTACGAACACGAGACTTGACGATCTTTTGTTGTGGGAATTGTTGCTATGGAGGGAATACTTTTGAGCTAGATGAACATGTTGTGAAGGAGAAAGGGCAAATGCTCTAAATCCCATAATGTTAGTTATGAGTTTTTTTTTTTTTTTAATTGGTTATTTACTTATTTTGTTAGTGTGTAATGAAGATGAATCGAGTGGCACTTGATATACTTATATGTGATATTGATTAATGTGAGGTTGGAAAATGGAGTGATTTTGTGTGTTGTGTGTGTGTTTGGAAGTGTTTTGTAAGATTGCATGGTGACCAATGATTTAATTTGATGGCTGTGATGAGAAGACGTGGCCTTCTGCTTACCTGGCTATTTGGGGGAAAATTTGATCATAAAATATTGGGGGATTTTGCATTCATGATTTTACTTGGTTGTTTACTTTAATGTGATAATTGAAATGACGCGAATTTAGATCTTCATAAGTGAAGAATATTCTTATATACAATACTTAAATATTGATAAATCATAGGTGATAAAAATATGGGTTTGAGTAGAAAAGGCGGATCTAGGTTTTAATTTTGAAATGTTCCTTTTCAAGGAATCTATTAATTATTAAATATTCATATATAAAATATCAAATTAAATATTTTCACGAGTTTTAATTTGCCATTTATTACAAATATATAACCTAAAAATAACAATATATACCTTTACAATTAAAAATAAACTATATACTATTTATAATTTAAATTCAAAAAATAGTGATTAAATAGTTTTATCAATGAAATATATTACATGAAATGAGTTAGAAAAAATATTAACATACAGAAAAATCAAGTTTTACGTGTCGCGGGTGTTATTATTTATGAAAAATAGTAATGCAATGATTCAAAAACTACTGGAAGTTAGTACAAATTTTTTAATTAACACTTTTGTATAATATACGTGTATTGTACTACTAGCTCTAATATAATATAAGAGAGATAAGTTTTTCAGTTATATGTTGCATAATAATTTTAACTGCT